GTTAGGTTTTTAAATATCCATTGTGTTCAAATTTTTTTATTGGTTGATTTTTTTTCGCTTCCTTAGATTTTCATTTTTTGTTGGCTCAATAGGTTTCGGCCCCTTATTTTAAAATCAAATAGTTGGCCTCAAATTGTGCCGTATGCTGCACGAAATTTTATTTGTGTGCTTATATGTGTTTTGAAGTGCTAAGTGTTACCTCTTCCTAGCTCCTTATCCTGTAACTGAAATCAATTATTATTTAAAATAATTTCGGGACATATCCGGAGAGCTAGAAATTGTTTCAAAACAGTTCCAGAGTTCAACGATAGGTCCTTCCTGATTTTCGGTGTATAAGTGTCTTCCACCCTACTGGGAAGGGTTACTTCTCTAAGCCACAACATGCCCGATTTGTGAATGAAAGCTAGTAACTCGGAAAACTTCTTGTCGTTCTTGAAATCGCTCGATCGTAGTTTCTGCATCGTTGCTGCCGTTTTATGTTTTTATTGTTTATTTTGCTCTTCCTCCAACGATAATTTGTTCTTCCACCAGCGTCATGCGGTTTGAATCTTAGAATTGTTCGTTCCAAGTGAAGCGTAGTATAAGAGTCGTTCACTTAAGTCACATATGAGGTTAAGAGTGATAGGTTCTATAGCCATCGGCCCAAGGACCAGATACACTATCTCTTCTGCTTTTATACCGCAATCGATCGGAGCCAATTCATGGTTTGCTTAGGACATCGAACTTGTGAATCGTTACAGCTCGAAATCTCCTACCAAAATACCCCCGCCGCTCTTAATAGAAATTTTCATGCTCCACATGCTAGGTCTCAAAATAACCTTAAATACGCAAACGCGATCAACACGGTGTTATTAAATTATACTTAAAATTAGTTTGTGCTTAACTGTTTGTGTTTGATTCAATTCAGATGGATCAACCTGAAAATCACATAATTGGACAAAATGCACTCAAGTAAGTAAATTCAGTAACTCAGGACATTATGGCAACAACTATGGAATTCACTCCAGTATTGTCATTAAGAAAATAAGCAACGCTGTAGAAAACTTATGGTGCTCAAGTAGTTTTTCAATAATCAATTAAATTAGGATCGTAGAGTCAGTTGACCGTGAAGTCTACCCAATCAAGCAGGACAATGGTTTATTTGATTTTCCGGCTCTTGACTGCTTTCCGGGCCCACCCGTTAAAATCTGTCAGTAACAAAGACAACTTTACTGAAGTTTATGTATAGGTCAACTGCGAACAGCAATCGGACTCAAGATCGTGTTTTCTAGCGCGTTTCTTGCTTCTGTGATTTCGGCTGTTCCGATTTCTGATTTTCAATTACTGCGAGAACACTGAACATGACAAGGCCGATACGAAGTTTTGAAAAATTCGTTTGAACCGAAAACTTCTCTGACAAGACCGACTGGCAAGTAAAGCAACTTTGTCTCTTTTTGCAATGTTCGATTACGTCGAAATTGTATACAATTGTTTTCTCGTTTTTTATGCATCTTCAGATTTGAAAGTCTAACTTATATTTACAGAATCAGCAAAATCATAAAAAGCGTCAAACTGTTTTCAAAAAATTAATTCACTAAATTATTACATAACATCTATTATGCAATCAACTTTCAAAATTCCCGCCCAAATTCAACATGTACGTTCACAATCAACATGTGTTTTGATGCCTTGCTGGGTGGTTTCGGTTATCTTAGATAAAATATAGAAGCTCTAGAAACGCTCAAAAGTTGCAGATGCTCGACGGCGGGAATATCATAAAGCTGCTACTCAACCCTAGTGGTATAATGTGTGAGCTTTAGCCAACATTGGCGGGACACTAACACTTCTTTTTAAACTGTAGACCACTTTTGATTTTAGTTTGCTCAAAAACTCTTATTTTAACGACGGCAGACATGTTTTCAATTTCCGTGTTATGAACACTTTTTGCGGGTTTGTGATATCCCGCTCTTACTCTACAAATTTTAAGTTTGGTTATTTTTTTTATTGAATAATCAATATGGGCGGTACGTCGTACCTGCTAGTGGAAGACCTTGGTATGGCACCCATGCTCCTGATTTTAATATTCTCATCTATGATGGTTTCGAGGGATCGACACGCAACCCGAGACGACCAGTTTTCTGGATACTTGTTTGCGGTTGATTTTAATTACTTTTTCAAAAACTTCCTGTGTGATGAACTCCAGAAGACACGGTGAACAGTTGATAATAAGGCAGACACAGCTCCTAAAGATCAGGATGGTTACTATCTGTTCGTTTTTGATACCATTCACAGCTCACTCTCCTGCTCTTATCGATGTTGATTTCTAAATCTAGAAGTGCAAGATTTCTCGATGCATTCGGTGTTTTCAGGGTGAACTGCAACTGAGGATGAATTCTATTGGCGATCTGAAGCATTTTCTCTGGGTAACCTCTGACCTTCCTGACTATATCATCAATGTAGCGGAGAGAAAATTCCCTGCTTTGCTGTTCTCTTTCATTTTCTTTCCTCGTAACGCAACATTTACAGTACCAGACTGTTTTGACTATGCTTCGGTAATCCGCATTCAATATATTTCCGTCTTTGTCGTGATACCAGTTCAAGCAATTTTTTGTTGCTTTTAGGGCACATTTCTCGATATTTTTTTCTGGGTGTAATCATTAAAGGAATTTCAATTTTAGCGCACGTTAATACTCCATGAGCCAAAATTTTGCTTGAATCTGCCAGATCAAACCACGACTCATTGCACTTAAAGTGCACTTAACTGATGGCCATATATAGTAATTCCTTTTAAGTCTTTCTCACCTTTGCAGCTAGTTTTTCCTGCTAGCTTTCTAACCGCTGTATCAATTGCTTCCTCGAGTGGAATGTTTGCGTATAAGTTTTTACATTAAGAGAAGTTGAGTTTTCAACGGACTTCAAATTAATACTTTCTGTGATTCGTCTGTCATCTGACTGAAATTCGTCTGTCATCTGATTGAAATTGTTTCAATGCTGGAGCTCTTAAAAAACCTAGTTAGGGTCCTGTTCAAGTTATTGAAAGATTTTTCAAGTAGACATAGAATTGATCTCAGTGGTAAGTCAACTTTGTGCACCTTGGCCAGGTCAAATCTGGCGGGTTGCCCACCTGTTGACCTAATCCTAATGTAGAGATTTTCACTAATTTCTTTTTCTTGGCCGGTAGTTCTTTTTTGATCTTTTTCAATTGTCAATATTATTGAGTCAGTCCTTATTTTTTCACTGAATTAAGTCAAATCAAGCAACCCCACAAGATATATTTATAATTTGTTTTCCTCAAAACACAGAAACCGACTACTTTGAAGAATGGCACTGCCACTAACCTGTTGACTTTGAGACACTTTCTCGCCTTTTCTATGCCCCTTCCAGATAGTGTCTATTTCACGCGTTTACTGTAGGTTTTTGTCTTGGCCTCAATCTCACAAAAGCTTCTCCGGGGTTTCGATGTTTGAGATCTGATAGAAAGATGTCGATATCGCGAAAAAGTGAGTCTGATTTTTGGTTCCGATGATAAAATTTCATGAATCCAGTCTAGTAACTCTATGGTCATCGATGGTTGTCACCGATCACTCGCTTTTCTGATCGAATGGGCAATCTTGCATTTCGGCTAACTTCCCCAGCTTCTTTTGATGTGTTTTTTAAACTACCGTAGTTGCCTTTGTTCATCCGAGTGTTTTGTGTTTTACTACCGAAGGCCATAATTCCTCGTTTACTACTCTTTGTACCACTCCTCTTGCCCTATAATTGAAAAGTTTTTCGCGTCTGTCCTGGTCTTGCTTTTTTACTGTTGTTACAAGTTGTATTCGAGAAAAGTGGACCGCTTTTCCGAAAAGACCTATTTTTGGGCACCCGAGATCTCAAACAATCAGGTTATATGTCATTTTTCAAACAAACTGTCAGAAATTTAACGCGTTGGTAGCAAGTAATAAGTTCAATATAAAAGACCAACTAGCTTCTAAATTACCTCTCGTTTTAAAGTCCATATCAACATTGGAGTTAGGAACAGAAATGTAATCAATGTTAGGCAGGCCACGAGAAAGAAATCTCACGTGACACAAAGCAAAACAAAAACTCGGTTGAAGCCTCCTCTCGGTTGAAGCCTTCTTCTCTGTGTCACCTTCAGTTTCGACATTTTTCACCGGTATTCTCTTCTCCCTCTTTATCCTGGTGAGTAACTTCTTCTTTGCGGCGTATCGAAATCTAGAAAGAACCACTGACAAGTTGTCCGTGTATTTGAATACAATTCTCATAGATTTCAGTTCAAGGTCACTGTCTTGATAAAGATCCTGGCAAGTCTGATTCCGCTTTCCTCTTCGCTTCCGATTTCAAAAACTTCATGATGGGTTTCAAGAGGAGTCCTGAGCCAATCAGATGACTCTTAAGGTCAGCCATGCCACTTCTCTGACAATAAGTAACTGCGGGAGACTATAATTGTATTTTCGCTTGTCGGCTTTGGTTTTCAGAAAATTTATATAGATTGATTACATTAAGATAGTAAATAAAACAAACGTTTTCGCCTTTTTTTGTGCATCTTAAGGTTTAAAAATCTAACTAATTTTTACAGACGGATCAAAAATCATAAGTGTCAAACGCAATTTTCATCAAAATAGATCATCAAATTATTACAGAACATCTATTATGCAAACAATTTAAGAAACTCCTGCCCAAATTTTCCTGAGAGCTTTGTTCTTTTTTCTAGTTACTTAATTTCAATTTTTGGATTAGAATTTTAATTTTACGCCAACTTTTTACGCTGTGTTTCTAGCAAAAATTTTTGTATCGCTAATGATGGAAAATTTTGCTTCGCTTGTGTGCCGAATTTATTAGTTAAAAGTTTTTTGCATGGTTTCAAGAAGGAAGTTTAACTTCACTGTTTCCTTCAGGAGTTAATTGCCACGGTGAACTGACGCTTCTTCAAATGATGAACTTAATGGCTCGATCAATTCTGCGTTAACTCTGTACTAAATCTTCATAGATTTGATAATTCCTTTCCCTAATTTCAGAAATTATGACGGAGCCAACGCTTCTTAACATCTTGGAAAACACAGTTTCATCAAGTACGTTTTTCAATAATTTTTTTTTGCTTTGCTAGTCTTCATAAACGTGCACAATCACCGTATGTTTTGATGCCTTGCTGTGGGGTTCCAATTATCTTAGATTAATTGTGTTTCAGATAAAGAAGCTCTAGAAAACGCTCAGGCATTTTTGGAAAACGCTGCAAACGTCAATTTTGTAAGTGGGATACTTGCTGAAGAAATATGGTAGCTTAACATTGAATAGTTGGTGAAAATTGGGGTTCGTTTTTAGCTAAGTTTCTGTGAGCAACTCAGTCAAATATTATGTACACCAAGTGTTAACGATGTGTGCAGAAGAGCAGCTGGTCTCCAGTTGAAGAATCAGCTCACCTCGAAAGAGCAAACGACCCGAAATGCTCAAGTCAGAAGGTGGATTGAAAGTGAAGTAGAAACAAAGAACCGAATCAAGCAAAACGTAATTTAGTTGTCTCATTCAATACTTCGTTTCAATTTCAAATTAAGCAGTTGAATATTGTGTTTCTCATATATTTTGTTTAGATACTGAACACCTTAGGAACAGAAACTTACAGGCCTTCTACAGCTGCTCAGTGCGTAGCTGCAATTGCTTGCGCGGAGTTGCCGCACAACCTTTGGCCCGAGTTGGTGTCATTTTTGTGTCAGAAAATTACAAACCCAGAAAGTTCAGATATGTTGAAGGAATCAGCCATTGAAGCACTGGGCTACATCTGCCAAGATTGCGTGAGTAATTCGGTTATTTTAAATCATCAGGTGAAGCCTAAATTAAATATAAACTAGCGTTTCCTTTGCAGCCAAAACTGCTTTGCAAACTGACAACTTACTCAGATTCTCGAACACACTTAGATGCTTATAACATCAGCATACCTAGAAAAAGCTTCAAGCTGAAAAAATAAATTGAAGTATAAAATGCTAGGAGAATTTCCAACTTTGCAAAATCTCCGTTTCTACCAAACATTGATCTACCAATAAGAGCAGAAACAGAAACAACCACTGCATATAGATTTAGACAACAAGAATGTATAGTACTACCAAATACACGCACAAAAAATCCAGCAATCTTTTTAAAAAAATCACAAAGCACATCGAAATATCAATAAGCGAAATCAACAAATCTCTAACAACAAAGTTAGACTGGAATTACTTTACCAAAGGCTTCTCGGATGCTAATAAATACTCGTGGAATTTCATGTTCAATTAGGGACATTGTAACCCAATTCAGAATTCAACTCAGCTGTAAAGAACTCAACTACAACAATTGGCAACTTATCTTACAGTTACAGTTTTAAAGCCACATCCTCATAAAACTCTATTGGGAGGCTACGTACGTGTTGTCGGCTTTGTGTCCGCTCGGTAAATACTAAATGCGGATTTAATGCTGGTGGTTGCGTTTCTCGACTGTTTTTCTGAAATCGAAATTTTCAATATTTCCAAGAGTCAATGAACGTAGCAGACTCGTATATAGGTCGTGATGATTTTTTTCGTGTTTTTTTTTTCAGGGAAGTTCTTAAAAATTTTTCACGCACAAATTTGATTTCAGCGGTGTGACTTCATTGTTTGAAGTTCATTTCATTTATTTTGTTAAAAGGAAGGCAATCTCCGCTATCGAAGATCAAAAAGTTTAAAAGTCACGATAAACGTGATCGACTTCTTGTTTCGAAATTGGAATAAAAATATTACCCATTTTTCCAGTTTTTGCAAATTGGGTGACTTTTTTCTAAAAAGTCTCAATCAGAAATTGTTCTAGAAACTCAAAGAGCTTTGAGGCCATGTATTTTTTCTTTGAAGTTAGAGTTTGAGTTTTTTTTGTTTAAAAATCAAGTCTTTTCCAACTGTCTGGTGGCTAAGTGTTCAATTATTGTCCACTTTTCTCTTCGAACACTGCGCTTTCGTTGTATTGTAAGTGCTGCGAATTTGCACTTCTCCTCCGTGATAACCTCACTTACTGCACCCTATTCAAAGCATTTATTTCCATAAATGCTTTGATAGCACAGATTGTTCTGACCATAGTCTTAAAAATACAAAAGTTTTTTCAAAATACGGTAGTTTTTTTTCTGCGTGGGTTGATAAAAAGATCTGTGAAAAAAATGGAATTTAGGCATATTCGACAGTCATAGTAAAGTAGAACAATTGTAAAACAGTTTTTTTAGAAGAATGACTAGAAAACCGAAATAAAATTTAAAATTCTTAAAATATTTAATTCCAAAATGGCGCTAAAAATCCCAAAACTAATTTTATTCGATTGAAACTAAGTTTTCACGGCTTAAATTCAGCATTTATAAGCTATTGAAAGCCTGCACTCACCGTATTAGCTCAAAATTAGACGAAAATTCAAAAATTTCAATTTTTGAATGTTCGATTAGGATATATTACTCGACCCATTCCGATGATTATTGAGGTACCTGATTTTGCCTGGAAAACAAAAAACTTCAATGCACACGAATAAATAGTTCCTCTACATTTTTCAAATGGTCTGAACAAAAACTGAATGCTAATTTAGCACCGGAACAAAACTTGGGAGTCTTACAAAGTGGTAACAGAGGCGACATCTTGTGAAGAAACCCATTCAACCGAAAAAAAAATGTTTTCACACAGAAGGAAAGCGGATTTTCGCACTACTTGTGTAGCTTTACCAACATAAGCAAAGGAAAAATGTCGAACCCTGTTGTCAGCCTCAACCGAGCGAGACAAAAAAAAGTAACAACGCGGTAGCTTACTCGTTTCTAAGTCCCCCTCACCATAAAATTTTTGTCCACCATGCATTTTGAGGCTATTAAGTCGAAAAATTTTTTCCCTGACAAACTTTAACTTTTATAAAAAATAATTCAAGCAACTCAGTGAGGAAAGCTCAGACAGTTTCGGATTCGAACATTTGAGCCTTCGCAACACAATGCAGCACTTTACCACAAGACTATTGGGCCTAAATTCTCGAGGAAACTGACTTTGTAAATATACAATTCAATTGTTTTTATTGAACAAGTTGAAAAGTCTATATTCCGATTTGATAGCACTTTTCAAACCGAACCGCTTTTATCCAATTTTATTAGACTATTTTACACAATTTTGCGCAATTTTATTAGACTTGCGAGAGCAAGTGTCTTGTAATTGGGAACTAGACTTTATCCCGTAAACAATTTTTTGTCCCGTAAACAAATTTTCAACTTGGTTTATTATCGAACCACCTTCACAACTTCCAGGTTCCTTCCCACTTGGCCTAGAGGTAACGCCACCTCCTTTGAACCCTAAGGCCCGCGCTTCGAGTTTTGACCGGACATTGTTTTTTCAGTATGTGTGCAATTGAAAAACTTTTCGTAAAATTGAATTTTCGTACTTTAGTTTGTCTGCTAAAATTTTGCCGGCTCAGTTGTCACGTCTCACATCTTGCTTGTGAGTTAAGCAACTTTCTTTACAGTTGCAAGTGTTGTTCTTTGTAGTTTCAGGAGTTGAATTTTTTGAAAATTGTTTTTTTTTCAGGTGTCTGCTCAAAGCTCCTCGGCTTAGTTGCCTTATCTTGATATTTTCTTGTGCTGTAAAAGCAACTTTCATTGTAGTTGCAAGTGGAAGTGTTGTTCATTGTAGTTTCAGGTGGGATTTTAATTTTAACGTTTTCCAGTTTTTTTTTAAAATGTTTTTGTTGTATCGCAAGTGGTGTTTAAAAAACTTTACTTTCACTTCAGATTTTTTTTTACGGATTAGTATATGTGTAGCGATTTCGAATATCATGACCTACTGTTGAGTTAAAGAGCATCCTTTGGTGTGTGCTTTTTATTTCAAAAAAGGTGTGAAGTTATGTTAGAGTCTTTGTCTACCCCGATGCGGGTTCGATCCGTTGATGCCTTGTTTCGGTTTTTAATTTATAGAGCTCCTTTTTGCCGTTTTTGTTCCGACCGCTGAAAGTAGGAAGGATCTTTGTCTTCGTTTGTTTCAGTTTTTTCATGGGCAAAATCATTATTACACATATTCTTGCGAATTGGTTGAATGATTTATCATATTAAAGCCCTGATTCGAACGACGTAGAAGGTTTCAAAAAGTTTTTTCACGGTCGAGAACCAATAGTTCGATTTTTTGAGAAATTGAGTTTAAGTCTCATTCTGAGCGAATGAAGCGAGCGAGCATACTTAAAGTAGGAGGATAATTTTTTAAGCCACAAAAACTATGTTGTACTTTGGTAAAATCATTTTTAGAAGTTTTATAGTGTCTTTTTGTTAGTAAAAATTAAATTCTTTTTGTTTTTGTTTTCTGTTCGTTTGTCAAATGAAACATTTCGTTAAAAATGACTAATTTACGATGACTTTTGAATATGACTAAGTTCTAGGCTTTCGTTCAGATCCTCTCATTACACCACGGACAAAAAACGACATAATTCAAAAAAAATATCTTAAAAAAAATTTTTTGTTTGCCTTGCGATTGTGAAGTGCATCTTCACCTCTGAATTTAAAATGTTTCAATTCGACCGAATTTTCCTCTGAATTGTTGGTTGACTTAGTTTACTCTTGTTGCAACATCAAGCTGCCCCAGGCAGAGTCGTGGAGTTGGGATGGAAAGACATAAGATACCGCCAGAAGTACAGATGAAATAGTAATTTCTTGAATCGATCTAAGCTTGCTTCAGACGTTTTCCCTGTAAGCAACTGTGACCTCGGTTCAAAGTTTGCTTTCGAACGTCTAGAAACCTTGTCATAGCTCGTGTACAGTCGAGCATATTTCGGTACTGTAAAAGCTAAGTGTTTGATGGACCCACAATTTCTTTGAAATTCGAAAGTTGAATTTTTTCAAAAAGTTAAATTCATTGACTCTTTTCCAACTGTCTGTTGGCATTGTTTTTAAAAGCATAGTTCAGATTCTTATATATGTCGCGATGATTTTGTATCAGGTTCAACTTTCCTGTGTCACGGTTTGACATATGATTTCTTTGTAGTAGTTAGAACATAGTTGAAAGGTGCCCGAGGGAAAAAGAGCCGGCTTGAAGGCACGAAGTGCCCGAGTGCGTCTCTTTTGCCCGAGGCCATCTTCAGCTATGTTCTAACTGTTGAAGAGTATGTTTTTGCTCTTTCTGAGGGAAAGATGCCAGTAAATTTTGAAAGAGCCCGGAAAATTGTGAAAGAGCCCGGAAAAGTGCGCGAAACTATGCAATTGATTTCTTTTTTCATTCATGCGTTCTTATATTCATTTTTCATTCCTGCCTTGTCGTGAAAGAACATGTGTGAAAGAGCAAAAACATACTCTTCTTAAATTCAGTTCATTTGCTTTGTTAAAACAAAGTCAAACTCCATTATCGAACTGCAAAAGTGTAACGGTCACGAAAAACGTGATCAAAGTCTTAAGTTCTAGTGTTGGAAGTGGAATTTAATTTTCCCAGCGAAAAAAAATTGGTCCAATTTTTTTCGAATTTGGTTAATTTTAGCAAAAAAGTGTCTATATCAAATTGTTCAAGATGTTCAAAGGGCTTTAAGGCCATCAATTTTTTCTTTGAAATTCGAAAGTTGAGATTTTTCAAAAACAAGTCAGCATTTTTTTGTTTTTCTGTTTATATTCTGTTTTAGTTACTATAATTTAGATTGTTTTCCCAGCGGAATGAAAACGTTTCTTGCTGATCCAGAATTATCTCAAGGAGATATATTTATCAAAAAAAAGTTACATTTCACTGGCGAGATGAAGTTACTAGTAATCGGGAACTTAAACTTCTTCCAATTAATAGATCTAAGAAATTGGCCTTTTTTGTGAAACCCCATTGTCTACCAGTCTCCTTACCACTGGGTCTACTGGTAAAGTTTGAGCCTTGGGATACTAAGGTCTGGAGTTTGAGTTCCGGCGGTATTGCTCGTGTCAAAGTTTGAAAATATCTTTCTTTTTCGTGTTTCTTGTTAATTAGTGGTTTGACACTCCATTCTACTCACCATACTACTCACCTAAAGTTGGGGTAAAAGATTTAAACTTGATTTTTAACGATTTTTGGTATAAAAACTTTAACAGGGATAACTGTTGTTAGAGCAGTGTTCTTGCACGGGAACTCGAGGCTCCGTGTTTGTTAATCGTCCACTCCGTGTTCTATCAATTAATTACATTAGGATGCACCTGAACTGGAAAACAAATCGAACGAACTTCTGACAGCAATTGTGAGTGGCGGAATGCAACACGATGTCCAAAACGACAACGTGAAGTTAGCTGCTGCAAATGCACTGTTGAATTCTCTGGAGTTGACCAGAAACAACTTCGAGAACGCCAACGAAAGGAACTTCATAATGCAGGTCATATGTGAAGCAACTCAAAGCATCAACCATAAGGTAACCTTTCAAAGTTATTTTGTCATTAATATCAATAGGGAACTGTCTGTAAGTTTACCTAAATTGATTTGATTTAGATCAAAGTGACTGCCCTTCAGTGCCTAGTGAAAATCATGTCTCTGTACTATCAGTTCATGGAAACATACATGGGACCAGCTCTTTTTGCCATTACACTGGATGCCATGAAGTCATCAGAGGAGGATGTTTCCCTGCAAGGTATTGAGTTTTGGAGCTCAGTATGTGACGAAGAGATGGATCTTCTGATTGAGGCCCAGGAAGCAGCAGAGCAGGGAAGGGCACCTGAAAATGTGTCTAGACACTATACCAAAGGCGCTCTGCAGTATGTTGTCCCGATTTTATTGGAGACTCTGGCTAAGCAGGTTAGATACGCCCAAAAAACAAGTAGTCAAACGTCAAAATCAGTTTACTAAGTTTTGAGTTTTGAATTACAGAATAATTTTTTGAACTACTTAAACAAAAAAATCTATATCAAATTTTGAACTACGTAAAACTAAGATCCTTGTTTTTTTGATGAATTTAAGAAATAGATTTATTCATTGCAATTCGAAGTTCCTGATTTTCTTGTGGGCTGGTTTTTAAAATTTTGATTTTGAGACTAGAACGTTTAAAAACGTTTATTTTGCTTCTCAGGACGACGACGAAGATGAATGGAATCCGTGCAAAGCAGCCAGTGTGTGTCTTAGCCTCGTTGCGAACGTCTGTGAAAACGACATAGTACCACATGTACTGCCGTTTGTAGAGGCCAACATCCAGAGCACTTCTTGGAACAACAGAGATGCGGCAATCATGGCTTTTGGCTGCATCCTCGAAGGTCCAGACACCGCCGCTTTGAAACCTCTGGTTTCGCAGGTCTTCAACCCTTTCCTAGTGAATATGCTTCGTGATGTATCTCCTGCAGTGCAGGATACAGCTGCCTGGGCTATCGGAAGAGTATGTGAGGTGCTTCCAGATCTAGCAGTTGCACCAGAGCACGTCCAACATCTGGTATCGGAACTCCTGGAAGCGCTGAACCGGGAACCACGAGTTGCAGCGAACGTCTGCTGGGCATTCACGAGCTTGTCATCTGCGGCATATGAGTACACGAGTGAGAGCGAGCATACAGATGAACCGGCTACCTTTAGTCTATCTCCATTTTATGAGGTAATAGTTCAGGCCTTGATTGCAACAACAGACAGACAAGACGCAGGTCAGTCCAATCTGAGAACAAGCGCATATGAAGCTATCATGGAATTGGTGAAGAACTCGCCGCAGGACTGCTACGTGCACATTCAGAGCACAACTATAGCTGTGATGGAGAGGCTGCAGAAGATAATCTACTTGGATGATATATCCCAGTTGAGTGCAACTGACAGACAACAATTCACAGATTTGCAATCTCTCCTTTGTGCTACCCTTCAAAGTGTCCTCAGGTTAGTTTTAGTCAATTGTTCAAATTAGTTTTGCCAGTAAGCAGCATGTTAGTAAAAAAAATGCTGGGACATTTATTTTGGTCTCGTGCTTTGTTGTGTGGCGACCTCAATTATTTTGCCCCGCAAAAATTGATTGGGGAGCGGTGGTGAAGTGGTTACGTCTCCGCCTCTCAATCGAAAGGTCGGATGTTCGAGGCCCACCATGATTCGTGCTCGTTGCTTGAGGGTGAAGCAACATTAACCAGCCCAGAAAAATAACCAAAAAAAAATAATTGCATGTAGTTCTTAAACAGGGACACAACAGCGGTTCGCCGTGATGAGCTGTACAGCTCTTGTGTTGGTCCTTTCCCCCGTGGATAAATGATCTTAATTAATTATCTTAATTAATTGATGTGGTGTCCAAATGATATCATTCTTTTGCGTCAAAAAAATCATTTGGGCATCCAATTAAATGTGTGTTATTGTTTTCAGGAAAATCAAAGAAGAAGATGCAGTGCAAATAGCCGACAGAGTCATGGAGGCTCTTCTGCAAATGTTGAACACTAAGTCAGCTGCACAGAGTTCTGGAGTTCAGGAGGACGCCTTAATGGCCATGAGCACTTTGGTCGAAAGAGTGAAAGGTGGATTCAATAAATACATGTCACACTTCTTCCCATTTCTGAAACAGTACCTGCAGAATGCAGATGACCCTCAGTTATGTCAGGCAGCCGTAGGCTTAGTGAGCGATCTGGCACGCTCGATGGGTTCCGATCTGATGCCTTACTGCAATGACATAATGACTGTACTTCTGCACCATCTAAGTAACAACTCGATTGACAAGAGTGTGAAGCCGCCAATCATCTCAGTCTTCGGGGATATTGCTCTTGGAATTGGTCCGGCCTTCATAACTTATGTGGATATTGTTCTCAATACGTTACACCAGGCCAGTCAGTTACAGGTTGGTGCATCAATAGAAGAATATTTTAAAACTGTACGATCTGATTTTTGTGGTGTTCAATGCCTTCTAATTGAAATAAAAGTGTTATATTAAGTAAAGGGTCTTGTCGATTTATCAATTTGCCATTAAATTTTGATCTCATGTTTCCCGTTCGTCGAATGAAAATTTTGGTCTTATTTCTTCCTGATGATTTCCTTGGTAAAATATGTTATTTTTGACATCTAGTTTGTAACCTATATCAATTGGAAATATTATATTGCAGTAAATTGAATTCACAATGTATAATTGGTCTCACTGATATTCGGTATCTTTCTGTAGGTCAACAGGGAAGATTTCGAGATGGTTGACTATTTGAACGAGCTAAGAGAGTCCTGTCTAGAGGGCTACACCGGAATAGTCCAGGGATTCCGTGGCGACCAACCCTCTGCTGCTGGAACAGACCCTAACTCTCTGGGACCAGCCGGGGACCTTGCCTCGCAACCACTCAGTAACGAACTAGCTGCAATGCAGCAACACGTTCAAAATATTGTCAAGTTTATTCTAGATATCGCGCAAGATGAAGACAGAACTGATGGTTTGGTTTCGGGCGCTTGTGGGCTAGTCGGTGACTTAATAGCTGCATATGGTCCTAAGATTGTTCATCTTTTTGAAGACCGTGTGTTTAAAGACTTACTTCAAGAAGGTAGAAAATCCAAGCAACAGAAAACGAAGACTTTGGCAATCTGGGCTTCCAAGGAATTGAAGAACTGTGCCCGCGTTTGAAAGTCGACTTTTTTTGAACTCTTAGCAATTTAATGAACTTGAGACTGTTATGCTATTAGTGAAATATTACATACTTTGTTTTGACAATGTTTTTTGAGCGAACTGAAACTTTTCTGCTGTGAACTTTGTTTTGTTTCTAGAATGATATTCTTTTTTCCTGTCGAAATCATTTTTTTGTGCGCAATTTTGTACAATCTGTCAATTAAATTTTAATCCAAACCGTGGAAACTTGAAAAAATATATAGTAAATTTTCAAAACTTGAGAAGTTACAAAAATTTGAACGATGAAAATCTTTTCGAAAAGCTTGAAAAAAACAGCAAACAGTAAACTTGAAGTTAACACTTGAATTATCACTGAGAAGAAACCCATTCCAAAAAACTGCTGTACATAATTCTGGGTCTCCGGAGCTGTTTTTCCACGGTTTGAACTGGACTTGCAGTCAATCGACTAGTACAGTCACACCTTTTTCGACTTTTTCAAGTTATTGTTTGTGACTTGTGTAAATCTGCTGAATTGCCGCTGATATCTGCCTTCTGATGCTCCAAATATTTTTATTACCAATTTTTATTGCCAATTAGTAAATCAGTTTAAATCATCATAATATTAACTTAACTTAACAACCTACACCATTAACCTTTGAACACTAATTGCGAGTGTGTTTCATCCTTTGATTCTGTGGTGTTCAAAAAGTTAATGATTGCTAACTTTTTAGTGCTATTAGTCTTCTCTCTAATGTCTGTTTTTTGAGTCGTTATACACGACTTCGACAACATCATTACTATTGTTAGCTGGTCTAATGTATATAAAGTGTAATTTACGCAGGCTAATTGGACGTACTTGACTATTATTATGTAATGAAAAACTAAGTCATGATAAAATTGCCGAGCTTTCATGACCGTGATTTTGTTTCTACAATGTGCGATCTCAATGGTACTAATCACAATTTTGGGAAATTAATTTATTTTTGATGAAACCTGATGCGAAGTAGTTTTTCGTTTTTGCTGACCAGATGTGATAAATTGAATTTAAATCTTGTCTCAAATTTTTTGTCTTCCTTGTATTGGCCTCTGTCAGCCAGGATTGTGACAAGAAAACATTGTCGGGTTGTTTTATTAGTGGTATGGAAGTCGCATTTTTGAATGCAGGCCAGTTATCACAAATAAACAGATAGCGTAAAGTGATGTCATATCAACGCGCCTTTAGCTCTGATTCGATGTTCAAAACATTTCAGTGCTCAGGAAAGAGGGTTTGAATTAGACTTTATGGTATACATCCCAAATCTAATATGAGGCTAGGCATTTTCAGCAAGAGATTTAATTTTCCTCACACTTTTAAAGACTCTCATATAGGTTGTGGTTTTTCTTTTTCAGGATGAAATCGCTTCAATATGATTTTTTCGCGGTTTGTATAAGCTCGCTTCAAATTCATTTGTTGAATGGAAAGCAAGATTCACTTTATACTAACAAAACAGAAAATTGTCCAAAAACTTTCAGTTTTTTGCTTATCTAGCGAATGAAAATTTAACTTTTGAACCAGGCTTCTCAAATCGAGCGAAGTGATCTCATTACGGTACTGTGATTTAAGCTTTAAATGAAAGAGCTGAATCGCTATAATCTCAATAAGTCAAAAGTATGAATTTGACAATTTCTTAGGTTCATGACCGGTTTTGCAGTTCATTGACGCTTTTCCGTCGGCCACATTCCATACCCTTTTGAATCATGCGCTGGGTTGCTTTTTGAAAAGGTGCCAAATTTTTCGTATCCTCTCTAAAGTTCTTGTAAAGTTTATGAAGAGTGTTTAAGATTAATGATCGTAGTGAAGATAGTAAAGACTTTTAAATAGATCTTGGTGATTATTTTTTTTTCAAAAGGTTTTAAAATGCTCTAATAACTACAGCTGTGCATTCATACATATTAATGCATGTATGAAAGCTTTTTGGTACAGGGGCGGATTTAGGGGGGAAGGGTGTTGGGGCGTACGTCCCTTCACACCCCCCCCCCCCCCCCCCTCCTCAGTGATTCGACCCCCGGCCGACGCAAAGGATTCCCCTCTGTACTATTTTGATATATCCATATTTGGTGACGGACCCTGAAAACGCACCGCCGAAAAACACGATTTTTCTAGTCAAAAGTTATCAAAAATTGGCTAGAACATCTTTTTTGGCCTGCTTTTTCAACATTTTGCCTGTGCCGCAAAAATGTTGCCTAAGAAAAAGGTCGACAAAATTTTCCAAAAATTTGAAAGTTTTTTGAAAATCTGCCCTCCCCCCTCGAGAGAAATCTTAGATCTGCCACTGTTTTGGTAGATATGCACTTTTAGAGTTCAAATTAAGGCTCTTTCTCTTTTTCCCAACAACCTCATGAGCATCAATTTTATGGTGTAATGAGTGGTTTTACAAGGTTGATTATGAAGACCAAATAGAGTTGTTAAGGCCTAATTAATCAGCATGTCAATTTTCAGAGCAATCGGTTGTTTCAAACAGTGATTCTTTTGTAAAAATTTGCAGGTAGGGAGAAAAGCAAACAGAGCGCAAATGAAATTCATCTGCTGAAAGTTACCTGAATAGTACTCTTCAAATACAAACGGGGCAATGGTGCAAAAAAAACGCTTTCTAGTTTCGTAAGTGGAATTTAATTTTCAGCGGAAAAAAACTTTACATATTGATCCAGTTTTCTCAATTTGGGTTGATGTTATCAAAAAAATGCCAATCAGAAATTGTTCTAGAAAAGGAAAGGGAATCTTGTTTTTCTTTGAATTTCGAAAGTTGAGGTTTTTAAACTAAGTTAGTGTTTTTTTTCTGTTTACTTGCGTTAATTACTATTTTCCAACGGTCTGTTGGCTATGCTTTCTTTTTGTATTTGTCGATACAAAGCGACTATGCTACGATGAAATTAGGTCTCAAAAATTTAAACTGAAATGGCTCGTTGCTTCAATCAAATTATAGCCTGGAGCTTGTCGCAAGCTCTTGAATTGAGGATACTCAGTTTTTCAAAATTTTGTCTTATTGATTTTACTGGTCCATACAAGCACGTAAATTCCACTGTCTTCAAAAAACTGTTTTTTTGCCAAAGGATACTGATCAGGGGGATTTCCCTGATTGAAATAATTGCAAATTGCCTAATCAATAATATGTTTATATCAAGTATAAATGATATACGGCTACCCATTTTTTGAACGAATTTTAGCGGTTTGTGGAAAAATTGCCCTCAACTATTAAGACGTTTTCTCCGCTTAAATCCTTGTTAATGTGTTCGTTTTCCTTCAACGAGATCATTAATTGATTTTTCCATCCGTAAAAATACACGACAATCAACTACATTTTGTTCAGAATTGTCGGCAAAATTTTGTTTGACTTGCCAAAAAAGCCGGTATAACTTGCAATTAATGTCGATAATGCGGTTAAATCATTCTGAGATGATTTCCAAATAACGTCGAAAAATGTTGTCGAAAGATTCCCTCTTTTTGAACAATAAAAAACTATTGAACGTTTACGATTGCGACTAAGTAGTCATTACGAAACCAAATTGTGCATTCTGTGCATTGTAAGCGGATTCCGCAACATGCCAAAGTCAGATTTGTCGCGGAATCCGCAACATTGCTGCTTTTTTTGATCTTCTATGCTGTTTTGGATTCCACAAACAAATACCTAAATCATTATACCGCTGAAAATCGCTCCAAAAATAGGCGAATTTGCGGAATGCAGAACAGTTTCTGGAATCAACAAACTAAAGATAAGACGTTTGTATTGTTATGTTGAGCTGTTGCGTAGTCCGCAACTGTAAATGGAATCTGCAAACTATAAGTGGAATCCGCATTTTGTTTGCGGATTCCGTTAACATATATTTATGTGTAGTAGCTTTCAAAACTATATCTTTTAATTACAACGTTGATCAGCTACCAGTTGAAATGCCAAATGTTCGTTCTCAATTCTTGTCAAACACCCAAATTCTATCTCATTTCCTGACAAACATACGCAACTTCGATCTCATCTCAATTCTTGCCAAACATACCCAGCTTCAATCTCATTTCCTACAAAGGTTAACTTCAATCTCAATTCCTCTCATCAATCTAAATTCCTGTAAACTTATTCATCGGTTCATTTCAAGAAATTCAATGAAAATAAAAGTTTTAATTTAGCCATTTTGAAACCTTTTCGTTCATCAGTTCACTTCAAGCCATTCAACAAAAACAAAAATTTGAATTTAGCCATTTTGAAACAATTTCAAAATGCGAAACCAGATTATAGTTTAAAAAGGCAACATTTGCAGGACTATATAGTTTTGTTTTTGAATTTAAAGTTGAATTCTACTGTAATTCAAGTTTCGGTAGTTTTTATCAAAAACTACTTTACTCAATTAATTAAATAGATCAATTACTCCCTGTGAACAAAATGAATTGAATTCACGCTCCCAAATACTGAATCTCAATTAAAGCTCAAATACTGAATCTCAATTACTGAATCCCAAGTACTGACCTAATTCGGCGATATGTCAATCCAAAAATGAATTAACCCAATTACCGACTTAACCCAATGAATTTATTCGGTGTTGTATTTCCAAAACTATGATCCCAAAAACTGCTTGCAAATACTTAAGTGTGACATCCATCGATTTAGTTGACCAATGTTTTGAAATTTGATTGTGGATTCCGCCGACAATGGTTAAGTCCTTGCTTTTAAAATCCGCAAGTGCATATGCAAGTTCAGTAATAAACAAATTTCTGAATTCTTATAGAACAACTTTTGCGGATTCCACTTATATTTGCGGATTCCACTTACATTTTGCTGAGTCCACTTACAGTTGCGAAATCCAGAATAACTAGCTATGTTTGCTTGTTGCTGAATCCGCAACAAATTAAATGTGCCGACAAATTTTACGTTGCAAGAACATGTATGCGGAATCCACGTAAATCTTGTAAGTGGAATCCACTTACATTTTGGAACATGTTTAAATACTTGTCTCTGGAATCCAGGAATACACAGACAGAAAATTGTGCGCCTATCCAGTGCACAGTTTGGCCTGGTAATGAATGTCAGAAACGTGTCAACGGTTATCTTGAGACATCTGTCGACGCAGGCTGAAATCATGAAAGACGAAGAAGTAGTAAAACAGTGATAGGAGAAGCGTTTATAATTTGTTCATTATAGCAAACGTTGTCGGTCGTTCCGATTGTTCGAAAGTAAAAAATTTCAGGAGAAGCTTCATCCAGCCTAAAAAGATATTAATTTTCTAGTTTTTAGTTAAAGAAAGGAC